CAGCACAGGTCCGTAAGCTGGCCACCTGCAGCAGCACAGTGCTCACAACACTCTGGCCACCTCCAGCAGCACAGTGCTGACGACACTGGCCACTGCAGGCAGCACAGCTCCGTAAGCTGGACATCCAAAGGCCTCGACATCCAGACAGATCTGGAGTGTAGAGGTGTAGAGTCTAGAGACCCACAAAGTCTTGCAGAGGTTCAGATCCAGACACCGGACCAAAGGACCAGGGGCCTTACGGTCGCCTCACCTCTTCAAAATTTTACTGGCGTGCTAGAATGGAATGGCTTTCTGCGCTCTAAACTTTACTACTGTACATTCGGGTGGCTCACAGAAGGGCGGCGCCGCATATTTTATCAGCACTTGTGCCTCATCTGCGCACACACTTGTTGACTCAGCGTGCACACACCCCATCGGGGGGAATCAAGTGCGCACACAGGCCCTTTCCCGAATGAATGTTGCTGCGTATTCCAAATTTCACCCCTGCATTGCTCACTTAAAAGGGTAGTCAACTTGGAATGGCCACTTCCTTCTCTATTTTTTCCCTCCAGTGGCTCACCAAGGGGTGAGTCAACTTGGAAAGAGCACTTCCTTCTCTAAAATTTACCCCTGCGTTGCCCACAAAAGGGTGAGTCAAGTTGAAATGGCAACATCCTTCTCTAAACTTTACCCTCGGGTGGCTCACCAAAGGGTGAGTCAACTTGGAAGGGCAACATTCTTCTCTAAATTTTTCCCCCTGCATGGCCCACAAAAGGGTGAGTCAAGTTGAAATGGCAACATCTTTCTCTAAATTTTACCCCTGCATGGCCCACAAAAGGGCGAGTCAACTTGGCATTGCCACTTCCCTCTCTAAATTTTACGCTGCAGTGGCTCACCAAAGGGTGAGTCAACTTGGAATGACCACTTCCTTTTCTAAACTTTACCCTGCCCACAAAAGGGTGAGTCAAGTTGAAGTGGCAACTTCTTTTCACAATTTTACCCTCGGGTGGCTCACCAAAGGGTGAGTCAACTTGGAAGGGCAACATCCTTCTGTAAATTTTACACCCGCATGGCCCACAAAAGGGTGAGTCAAGTTGAAATGGCAACATCCTTCTCTAAATTTTACCCCTACGTGGCCCACAAAAGGGTGGGTCAACTCGGCATGGCCGCTTCCCTCTCTAAATTTTACCCCTGCATTGGCCACAAAAGGATGAGTCAAGTTGGAGTGACCACTTCCTTCTCAAAATTTTACCCTGTGCACAAAAAGGGTGAGTCAAGTTGAAATGGCAACATCCTTCTCCAATTTTTACCCTCGGGTGGCGCAACAAAGGGTGAGTCAACTTGCAGCTTTCCTGGCCACTGCAGGCAGCACAGGTCCGTAAGCTGGCTCGCTGAGTAGCTGGCCAAATGGGGGATAGAACAGGAGTTCAAAAGTGGTCCTTGTTGTTGTGTGTGTTTTCCGGGAGATGCATCAAAAAATGCATTAACATAGAATACATGACAACACTTGCCATTGCAGGCAGCACAGCTCCGCAAGCTGGCCACCTACAAAAGCCATCGAAAACCAAAGGCAAAAGCCACCAAAACCCAAGAGCCACCGAAAGCGAACCTTCCTTCCTGCCCTGCTGCCTTTCTTCCTTCCATCCATCCTTCCTTGCTTCCTTCCTTCCTTCCTTCCGTCCTGGCTTCGTACCTTCCTTCCTTCCTTCCTTCCTTCCTTGCCTTTCTTTGTTTCTTTTCTTTATTTTTTTTATTGATGCATTTTTATTTTTTTTCTTGATGCATTTATATTTTTTATTGATGCATTTTTATTTCTTTTTTGATGCGTCTCCCGAGCATGATGCTCAAAGGCTCTTCATAATCTTCATAAAGCTTAGCTCTCAGAGGTGTCAGCCACCATTTCTTGAACCCTCTTCTGAAAGTCGCTAAGAAGGGCCTTGCCCTCGTGGGTTTTGAAAATAGCATCAAGTCTCCTGGAATGTCTTTTTATGGCTGAAGTCAACCCCTTTTCAGGAGTCACCTAGGCCCTTGCACCAAGGAGTCAACCCTTTTTGGTCACCAAGCGCCTGCAAAAAGGCCTCCTAACGGCTTCTCGCATCCCGCATTGGTGCAAAGGAACCATAAGCCAAATACCATTGTCAAGTCAGTATCCCATTACCTGTTCTGGTGAGACTCAAGGAACGGAACTCACTCTCTTTCGGTCTTTCAGGACCGAACTTGCTGCACATTTCACTTCAACGTCTCCAAGCAGTCTCTGCACAAACTCCGAGTACAAAAAACAAGTCCAGTCTTGCAAACATGGCTTGCAAATGCTTGCAACATGTTTCATTCCCATAGCAACCAACCTACACAACCTCGCTTCCTCCACCTCACTTTCCGGCTTTCGGGTGGATGTGGATGGGTCACGCCGCGCCTGACACGCCAAGGTTTCACCTCCGAGACCCCAAAGGCTTCGGTTTCCTGAGGCGCGACAGGCGACAGGGTCCGGCTTGAGTGGAAAAGTGACCATCTGTTGTATAGCTGGAAGTGGCAGGTGACTTAGCCAACCAAAGGAGTAGCATGGAACAACATTATACTGATTGGTTGGCTGGGTCAGATGGCTGGAAGGAGCTCATCCAGGTTTGGGATACGATTCTTTGGCCAAATGGGCTCGGAGGGGTTCAATGTATGCCTTCTGCCTTCTGCAAACAGACTTCTTGCTTGACAGGGACATTCAAGAATCTGCTCTGAACATGAGAGAGGGGAATCAATGCATTTTACTCTCCCCCAATCTATTTTGCTCACACAAGAACAAATCGTAGCCGCCTTAGCCTCAAACTGCCTGCAGTAGATGCTGTAGAGAAAGGGGACATAGAACCCAATCACATGTGGTGATCAAACTGTGGCCCATGGCTATTTCCGTCTGCTCGAGCCATTTCTGATAAAAAATAAAAACGTCCATGAAGATCGACCCCCATGAAGATCACAATGAAACGGCTTTTCACCATGAGCTACCCACCGCCGTGGGTCGAAAACAAGAAAGCCCACCATGTCGACGCTCGCCACATCGCTCGGGTTGCTTTGCGTGATGGCTGCCAATCCAAATGCTCGCCCCAACAGACCATCCACGCATCTTCTTTTTCAGAGGCCAAACGAAATTGGAATGATTCTATTAAGATAGTGTATATCTATACATATTATGCTGCGATCAGAACAAAATCATGCAGGGTCTGATGTTGGTCCACACCCCGAATTCCAAATTGGACCCTTAGGAGACAAGGATCGGTAGCAAATCAGTCGGGTATGTGAGAGCTCGGCGGCCTGGGGGTGGTGCTCAGTCTCGCTGGTGAACGCGTCAAAAAGAGTTCCACCAATTCCAAAGATTTCCAAAGGGATGTTTCTATCGTGAGTGGACCATGGACATGGGACTCCAAGAATCAAGAAGGCATCTGAACTTCCGGTGAAGACGAGTTTGCAACCTGTATATTCGTGCTTGTCGTGGCTTTGGCAAGGAGTAGTCGTATTTGCTTGAAGAATCCGGCCTGCTCATCAGAATCATGGGAGGAGAATACGAGGTCAGTGACTGCCGAAGCTCCCATGTTGTTAGCCCCTGCACCCTTTGCGCCTTTGGGCTAAACCACAACATTTCTCAAAAGGGTTGCCCGCCCGTTGGTGAGGTTTTGATATCATAATTCATTCTTTTGGCAACTGTCGAAGTGGACGGACTTAACATGGGCTGCCTGGATGGAGCACCAGCAAAATAGACCATAAGGCTATTTTTGCAGTGTTTTGTCGAAAGGAAGCCAAACCTTCTATGCACGCCACGCTAGTCTCTGGCATGCACCAGGTAACCACCAAACACAACAATCATAATAACAATACTTTATATAATATATATATATAATATTGCTAATAGTCGGCTCATGTACTGTTGCATACTGTGATATACACTGGTGATCACTGATGCATACTGTTGATGCTGCATGACTGCATGAGAACACCCATCGCCGGCCTCGAACTGTCGTACAGACGTGTCCACTTGCAAGGATGCACGCCTAGCTGACTAGACCGGGGAGCTCAGTGTGGGTGGCACAGGAATCATCTGACATTGAACATATTGGAATTTAACTACAACTTATACATATATAAATGATAAACAGTATGAGAACAAACACATCAAAATACTAGATGTGGGCGGGACTGCCTGCATTACGAGCCTTAAGCTCACCAGCGATCAACTGAGGGAATAAATTTTTCAGTTCATCCTGATCCTCCTAGATGGGCATCTTCTCCTCTTCAAGGAAATGATCAACCCGACAACCCATGTATGGAATATTTAATTACAGGGTGGTTTTATTGTTAAAGATTATTTTAAGGGTCAATGAAAGATAATGAAAGCATATATATATATATATATGCGTAAACTATCCGTAAACTCTACAAATGGATTGCTGGGGAGCCAACACACAGCACCGGACTCCCAGTCCACATGGAGTTTCAAACCCATGTGACAGTCATGGCGCCCGGTCTGTCCCTGGATGGCCCAACTGATTTATTCGAACACAGGGAGATCGAGTGGGTGACCATTTTGCAGGCCCCTGATATCATCTGATATCCAGATCCTATCCGGAAGGCATTCGACGGTCGGACCAGGGAGCCACACTCAAAGAGCCACTGCCAAAACCTCGGACGAATGCTTTCCACCAGCGATCGCCCCCATCGCAGCGATCGCCGCGTGGCATGGTGTGGCATTGAATCCAGTCTGTCTCGGAACTGGATAAGCATTCCCCGTGTGTCTCGATGCCCAGCGAGCTCAGTCAGAAGCTTCGGAATTCCCTGCGAACGGCCGGTGGCTAGGACCCACTGTGGGTGACCCACTCCTGCTGTGCCAGGGGTTCCGCAGGAGGTTTGGACCGTCTTCGACACCTTCTGAAGCTTAGGTGGTTCACCCCTTGGAGAGTTCTGCTCTTCACACTTTTCTTATTCATCTGTTGCAAAAATGAGGTTACTGTTCGGCTATTGTGAGACCTCGTGTCTGCACTCGAGCTCTGAAAGGCTGAACTGGACGCGTAAAAACCACTGTCTTCGTGCTAGATTCGAGGAGCAAGTATTCAGGCAAGTAGCACGGCCACCAACGCCAGTCCAATAACTGCAGCCTGCAGTGCAATTGCCACAACACACTGGCGAACGGGACATTGGCGTGAAGACAAGCCACTAAGAAAGGAATTACAATCAGGACTCAAGATCCTGCAGAGCCTCTAATATCCATCAAGCACATCCAAAAGCTTCACAGTCTCTCTCTCTCTCTCTGATGTCAAGACTCATGTGAGAAGCGCCCACTGCGATTCCGCCAAGAGCGACTCTAAGGATCCCACGACCAGTCCGCCAACCTGGAGGATGTCCTGATCCGAGTGGACGAGTGACTCATCGATGGTCTTGCACATCTGATCTGTGGACCCCGACCCGACAGCATGTCGAAGGGTAAAAAACATGGCCCAAACACATCAACTTTGGTCTTCTGAGACTTCTCAGACTAGGTGTTGGCCATCAACCTGATCTGTTTTTGGGTTCTTTCTTCCTGCTTAATCTGTTTCAAACCATCATGGTAGTGAGCTGCCTTTTAAGATCTTTTGAGACTACGAGCAATTTCGTAATGTTGCCTAGATACCTCTACACAGTACCAAAAGTACAGAATGAACAAGTGTTAGAATTGCTGGATTCCAAACCCAAGAATATACAATGTTTGGATATGTTTGGCTGGTGTCCAAACTGGCTTCCTGCTGCGTTGATTATGATTTCCAATGATTCGGTCATCACAATCATCAGACATCTGCTATCACGAAGCCCTGAGCTGCTCACGGTCTTCAAGACTGCAGGACCAAAGGCGAAGAAGAAGACCTTTTCGACACAACTCCGGTCGTCAAACCGTCAAACCCTAGTCAAACCGTGCTACGCCTGTGCCTCTCTACAGCAACCCAAACTTCGGTTCCGACACATCACGTGTGGAACGAATTTCCACCCACGGAACCACGGAACGAATCCCCAAAAAGACCTCGTGGTCGTCTGTCTTTGATGTGGTTAGATCTGTGGAGAGAACGCCGATCACTTGGCTGACCAAAAATGGCACCATCACCTGAATCACCTGGTATCCTGGATGGTTACATACATATATATATATATACATATATCCAGGTCCAAAGAGTTTACAGTTTGTGGAATGACACAAGAATGAAACATAAGTTTTGCCAGGTTTTCCATCTGTATGGTAGTATAGTCATGTCATGTCATGTATAGTCCAAAAGAGTGATTCCATTTGTGTGGTGCTCACAAGAAAATGCGGCAAGTTGCTGGTGTGGGACTATTTCTACATTTTCGGTAGTATGTTTGGGAATCTAATATACCGGTTCCAACATGTTGAATCACACCCGCACAGTCAACAAGTCTCCGAGCAGGTTTTCTCTACTTGAACTTGACATCAACTTGTTTTGTGTCTGTGTGTGTGTTCGCCAGGATTGTGTCACTGTTTTGCATCAAACAGTCAATCGAGACAAGCGACAAACAAAGCAATGTAGACGATTGCGGCAGGCTTTGTGACCGCACCTCAGTAGTCTGAGAGCCAAACTGATGCTGCGTCTAAAGCTCCCAAGAGAAAATGATAAAATGACAACAAACTTTCTGGGTGCAAGAGCACGGACAACATATGACAAGCATGATACAGAGCTGGCACAACCCAGCATCATGGCTCAAGTCTTGATGTTCCAAATAAGACAACATTTCATCACTCAGCCAGTCACGAAAACAATGCTGCGGCAAAGGAAGTCCGCCTGAAAAAACACATGCAACATGGTCACTAAGAAACTGATCATTAAACATATATTACCATACTTTGTTATATTCAAACTAATACCATCAGTGCGTCATCCTCTTTCTGATTCAGACTTGGACCGGGAGTCTAGCCAAACTGGCCTCCACCAGCTGTATGCGTCCATAACAACAAGCGCCCCAGATTTGTGACCGCCATCCTTGCGTCCACGTCGAAGACACGGCTGCCACATGCGCAACATCCTCAAACATATTGTGGTCAGGAGATACAAGAAGCAAAATACACAATATACTATACACAATACAACATTCTATATATGGTGTATATAGTATTATATATAACTTGAACTGCAGCTATATTTGGTATACAGGATTAAATAACGTCCCCTTATTTATCAAGCCCAGCTCGAGCCCCGAATACTAAACTATTATAAAACCTGAATTCCACATGTACATCACCCTAATGAGATTTTGTCCTAGCGAACACCTCCCCCCATTAATCAAGCCCAGCTCCCCCAGAAAAAAAGTAATTAGTCTTATAATTCGTTATTTTCTAACTTCCTTTTGGGCAGTATCCAATATCTTCTCCTCCATGGAACTGATCTTCTAATCCACCCGTTTCTTCTCATCCTTCCCTGTGAACACACCAAAAACTCCGCTGGCAAAAAATCTGTCATTTGCCCTTATTAAAACTCTATCAACATCGTAAGGTGTTCAAACTCACAAAGGGTACCCCTCACACAGGCCCTACCACCCTCTAATTGTAGGGCCCCTCACTCCCCCTATTAATCAAGCCCAGCGCCCCCAGAAAAATATAAACTACTAGTATATATAGTGTACTATTCATTTCAATCAAAGAAAACATATTGTTCCAATCTCTCTCATCTCTTTCCCAATCATCCCAATCCCAGTCTTTCCTAATCTTGTCATCATCTCATCATCCATCATCAGGTCATCATCTTCTTTTAAGAGGACGTAGTCACCTTTTTTTAAGGGGACGCAGTCACTAGTCTCCAATCCCTCCAATCTCAAACCTTGTTGACCTTGAAGGAGGGGTGATTAATCCGGTGTTGACATTACATAATAGTTACTCTTTCTTTCTTTCTTTCTTTATTTCTTTCTTTCTTTCTCTCTCTCTCTCTCTTCATAAGGCGGCCACAAAAAGATCGAACACCAACAACAACTCCCCTCATCTGAAACTACTTTGGAACCAACAAAACAACAGCCGTTGATTGATGCTTCGCCTTGGATAGCATCTACAGAAAAAAGGAAATCCAACAAATCCATTGAATCTGTATCCAGGCGTCTGAACCAAAGTTCATAGATGCCACACGTGATCACCGCCAAAAACACCCTGAGAACGGTGTCTGCGGTCTAGGCCGAAAACAGACAGCAAAAACACCTGATTCACATCGAAAACACCTAATGTGTCAATGGACGCAGATTTCAATTGAATTGTGAAGCAAGAGTAGGCAGGCAATTCAGAAACGACAATGACAATGCCTATCTGGCCTATCTATCTCTGACCAAAAAGAGGCAAGACATGGCAAAACCCGTGGTCCCCGGCGGTCGCCAAAGCATTGTTGTTGAATTCAAGAGTTTACCATCTTTCATACAACCATATACAACCTATGCCTTTCACATTGATTCATTGATGTCGTTGGGTCTTCCAGAAGCTCAGCAAATTGATGCAACACTCGCACATCTACTCAGAAAAAATGATTGATACTGATTGATAATGACGGTCCCTCACAGGTGGATTCAGAACTTCAAATCACTTGCATTGGCCAAGACACCTATCAGTCAGCTCATTATCTCCACAATTAAACACACAAACCACATAATTACGAACATCACAATCTACCCTTCATAGAACATGAACACTTCCTGAACATAGGTATCCCTGCCACCCCCCCCAACTCCCAGCTTGGACAGAACCAGAGCTTTGCCAACACGTCAACGATGTTGGCAGGGCACCCCGCCTGCGGCAGAAGGAGATCGTCTTCGTGAGCTTCACTCGGATGGGCTCGCCGCCCAGGAGCCGTTCGCCCAAGCGCAGATCGACTTCGAACTCGCGGCACCGCAGGCCGCCGATGTTGGCCTCCTGGGTGGGATGTCTACGGCAGTGTGTTGGCGTCCGCACCATGATGTATCCCCAAATTCCGAAGCTTGTAACATGTTGAGAACTCATTCGTCCACAAACATCCGCTCAATCTTCTTTTGCATTCTTTTGCATCATCTTCCGCTTCATCTTCTCTCTTATTTAATTCAAACCATTTCAAACCTCTACAGCCCGCTCCTGGAAGTGTCGATCTCGGAAGGCTCGCCGCCGCTCCTGCTGGATCGCCCGCCGCTCGCGGCGCTCGCGCCGGGCCTTGGTGGCACCGGCGCCCGCGG